AAAAAAAAAAAAAAAAAAAACAAAAAAAAGGATGCAGTAAGAATAAGTAACACTTGGCCAGCACCCAGAAGGACAGAGCCCACTGTGAGGACTAAGGTAATTTACACTAACCCCAAATCTTGGTGAACATTTTCTAGACTGCACTGAAGATACATCAAAGAAACTAGACAAATCCTAAACCTACTTGGACCTCTAAACGATTGTCCAGCACCCTAGGAAAAGGGAATCCTTTGAGCCAAACACAGCTTACATACAAGGATCCCTTGGGCGGGTAGCCTGTAAGGGTGCCAGCACTTGCCAGGTAGCTTGCTGGAGAGCTACCTTTCATTTTCTCTGAACTACAGTATGAAAAGAGAGACTCTGCATGGTGTGGAAGGGGAATGGGATTTGAAGTCAGGGGCCTCTTGCTTGCTAAGGATGCAAATGCTTTAACTTTCTGTGGTAGATCAGACTCCTGGTCAAGAAAGGTCCAGCTCTCCCACCTCATTTCTACAGCAGTCTGCTTCTCTGTTCCGTTCTGTTGGGTTTGACCATGTTTTTTTTGTGCTGGTCCCCTTGCATCTATGTCAGTGCCGTGTGGTAAGTCTACCCTGGGCAGCTGCTTTGTCCCGGACCTCAGAATGAACACACGTGGAATGGACCAGAACTCTCCCATGGCAAGGAGCAGCAAAGCTGCCCAGCTGAGTCCAGCCTAGACAGGCCAACCCCAGCCAACCAGCAAATGCATGAGAAATAACCACACTAATAGCGACCAACTCATAAGCTTGGTGAGGGAGGAACAGTGAGCTTTGCTTTTGTTTTTTTGAGACAGGGTCTTGTCTTACTTTCAACTCATTTATCCTCCTGCCTCTTTCTCCAGAGTCCTGGATTACAGCAGTGTGCTATCACTCACAGCTCTAAAGGATTTTTAACTCCTTGTTTATGGTTCTTTTGTTTTTTGTTTTTTTGAGGTACTAGGGTTTGAAATCAGAGCCTAGGCAAGGGCTCTACCACTTAAGCCACACCCTAGCCTGAGCACAGATTCTGAAACCAGACTGTATGAGTTCAAGTTCAGCTCTGCCACTACCAGGTGTGTGATTTTACAGTTCTTTTGTTTTATTTTGTACTGCTGGAGAGTGAACCCAGTACCTGGCACATGCTAGGCAATGTTCCACTGCTGAGCTACGTCCTCAGCCTTTGTACTTCTTCTAAGTATTTGAACATGCATTACTTTCATAATCAGGAAAAAGCTATATCCATCATGAGAAAAGAGGAAGCCATAAAAAAGGTAACTTATGTGCACGTACTGTTTCAGATGATCTTTGGCAAGAGCTATTCTCTCTCTGTGTCGTTTTTCTGCTTTTTCTTGCTCTTCTTTGAAAGCCTTTGCAATGTTGACTTTCAATTGATCCTCCCATTTCTTATCTGATTTTATCCTACTCTTCTGGAATTCAATCTGGGCATCTCGCTCTTTCATAACTCTACTGAGAAGAAGTCCTGACTATAAAAAAAATGGCAGTATTTTAAGAAAATGGTGTGTAATTATGCATAGATTACAATTAATTATGCATGTCAAATGTATATAAAAAGAAAAGCAAAATAGTACATTAAAGTTTTTCACTCTTTCTGTTTGGTAAAACTGATATTGCTTTGCATTCTCAATAGCCTTTTTTCTTTCTCCTTGTTTGTATATTTCTTCTTCCACATCAAGATTTTGTCTCTCTGCCTCAATTTCTTCATCCCGCTTTTTTTTGGCTTTAAGTTTCTGTTCTTTCATCCCCTGTATAAAGACAAAAGCAATTTTTCTTTTTGCAGTATCAGGGATAAAATCCAGGGTCTTATGCATGCTAGGCAAGCACTCTACCACTGAGCTGCCCGACCAAAACCAATCTTTTGTTTTCATTTTTCAATTTAATTTTACCAAAATTTAACACTGTAATGCGACCATTTGAATTTTCATTATGAATTTTTTGTATCTGTGTAATTCATTAATAAAAATGAGGTTACACTTTTGAGCTAATTTTTTTAATTGAATTACCTAGGTAGGTAGCACATTTACATGGTTCAAAATCCAAAGTATTATAGAAGTATACAGTGAATTCTCCCTCCAACCCTAAATTCCACCTCCAATCTCTCATTCTAAAATAATCACTACTATTAGTTTCTATATTTTCTTCCAAAGATACTTGTTATAGTTATATAACTAATATGTATCTTACTGCTTTTGTTACTTCAAAAAAAAAAACCAGTTGGACTGGGGGCATGGCTCAAGTGAGTTAGGTAAAGATTTTTTAAATAAGCTGGGCATGGTGGCACACACCTATAATCCCAGCACTTGGAGGCTAAGACAAGAAGATCACAAGTTTGAGGCTAGCCTGAGCTAAATGCATTAGAGTTCAAGGCTAGCCTGAGCTACATAGTGAGACACTGTCTCCAAAAAACCCCTAAGGTTTGGGGGTGTAGCTCAGTGGCAAAGTGCTGGCCTAGCATGTACAAGGCCTTGTGTTTGAGCCCCCAGCACTGAGAGTAGGGAAAGAGGGAACCATTTCTGAGATAAGCCTTTAAAGAATGACCCACCTCAGAAAAACTGATAAACTAGATTTCACTAAGATTCAAAGCTTCTGCAATCAGCCAGACATGGTGTTGCGTGTCTGTAGTCCCAGTGACTGGGGAGGCAGAGACGAAACAATCAATTAAGTCCACAAGTTTGAGACCAGTTTGGGCAACACAGTGAGACTTTATCTCAAAAAACAAGCTGGGTGCAGTGGCTCATGCCTGTGATCCTAGCTACTAAGAAGGCAGAGATTGGGAGGATCACAGTTCAAGGCCTGCCTAGGCAAAAAACAATTCTCGAGACCCCCCCCATCTCAACTAATAAAAGCTGGGCGCCTATCATCCCAGCTACTCAGGTAGCTTAAATAGGAGAATTGTGGTCCAGGCCACCCTAGGCATAAACACAAGACCTTTTGCTTTAGATAACTAAAGCTAAAAAGGATTTGGGGGCATGGCTCAAATGGAAAAGCACCTACCTGGTAAGAACAAGGCCCTGAGTTCAAACCCTAGTACCACCAAATGAACAAATGAACACATAAACAAACCTGTTTTTCAAAAGGCAAGGTAAGGAAATGAAAAGTGAATATATACATTGGGAGGAACTGTTTTCAAATAAAATGCCTAATAAAGAACTTTTTTCTTTTGAGAGAGACTCTTACTTTCCTCCCCAGGCTGGCCTCAAACTCTCTATGTAACCCAGACTGGCCTTGAACTCAAGATCCTCCTGCCTCAGCCTTCTGAGTGCTGGGATTATAGATGTGACTACTATCCCTAGCCTCAGAATATATTTTTTAAATTCTCTAAACATAACAAGAAACAAACCTAATTTAAGCATGAAGAAAAATATGAGCAGACACTTTACCAAAGTAAATATACAGGTAGAAAATAAATTCATTAAAAGATATTCAACAATATTTGTAACTACAGAAATTCAAATTCAAGCTATAATGAAATAACTTCACATCTACTAGAATGTTTATAACTAAAAAGACTGATCACATCAACTGTTGGAGAGAATGTAGAGGAAATAGAACACTGATATTTGTGGGAATGCAAAATTACAATTGCTTTGGAAAACAGTGGGAAGTTGGCTGGGTGCTGGTGGCTCACAGCTGTAATCCTAGCTACTCAAGAGGCAAAGATCAAAAGGATCACAGTTTAAAGTCAACCCAGGCAAATAGTTCATGAGACCCTATCTCGAAAAAAACCCATCACAAAAAAAAATAATAATAATAATAGGCTGGTGGAATGGTTCAAGGTATAGGCCCTGAGTTCAAACCCCAGTACCACAAAAAAAAAGTTGGAAGTTTCCTACAAAGTTACATATGTAGCCATCACTTGATTCAGCCATTCTACATCAGGAGATTCTACCCAAGAGAAATGGAAGCATATGTCTACATATAGACTTCTGTATTTGTAATACTGTATTTGAAATAGCCAAAAAAATGGAAACCACTCAAAATGTCAACACCTGGTTGTTGTCAAACCATCAAGTGACCAGATAAGTTGTAGTGTATCATACTATGGAATACTACACAGCAATAAAAATGAAGGAACACAACAACATGAATGAATCTCAAATAATTGTGCTGAATAAAAGCTATAACAATAAGAAGTAGATCGGTGGTGACCTATGGATGCGGGAGGATAGGATAGGGAGGAGTGAGAGTAAAATAGGAGGACATGAGGAAGTTGTTGGGTGATGAATATGTTCATTACTTTAATTGTAATGATGGTTTTGGGGTATATATACATGTGTCAAAACTTACAAAAAAATCACTTTAAATATGTAATTTATTGTATGTTACTAATACCTAAATAAAACTGTTGAAAATATGTTTCAATGCATTTATGACATTTTAGAGATAATATCGTAACAGAAATGTAAGAGATATTAAGAAATGAGTAAGTAGTAAATGCATGTGTACTCCTGGAAGATTAATACTTACTGCATATGTGTTAGTCCAGTGCTTTACCACATTTTGGGATTTGAAATGCAATTCTTTCTTTGCCTTTCTTTCTGCACGAAGAGCTGCTGCTTCTCTTGTCAACCTGTCGAGGCTGTCCTGAATCCTTTTCCATTCATTGTGTGGAATTATGGTGACCTGCCGGAGATCTACCTTGCTAGGTAGAAGAGGTGGATAGCAAATGTCATCTTCTTTGGAGTTCTTCTTTTCTAATAAAATTTAAAACATAATTATTAAAGACTTCCAGGAAGAGTTTAAGTGATTTTTTTCTCAGAAATTTCTGTATTGGCATCATACCTGGAATTTTAATATTTATTTATTTTTCTTATTATCTTAAGAACAGCTGAGATCACATGGAAAAAAAACATAAAGCCTTGAAATAAGAAGACACAGATTAAAATCCTTGCTTGGTCATTTCCTTTCTGTGTAAATTTGGGCAAGTCATGCAGCTTCCTGGAACCTTAGTATCCTCATCTTTAAGGATGACATCAATCATAACTACCCGACAGGTGGCTATAAAAGCATTTTCAAAGTTAACAGTTCACAAACAGATAACCTGGGGGATGGTCACCTTCAACCCCTTCCCCACTGAGCAGCACAATGCAATTTGGAGAATGGAATAAATTCTTGGGGTGGGTGTAATTAATTTGTGAATAATTGTAGCTCCTTTGCCAATAATTATTTTTCTAATAAACAAAGAAATAGGAGAAAAAGTTCTTCCTTGTTCTGAGAGAAACATCCCAGAGACTCTGAAGCTGGATATGCATAAGAAAGCAAGAAGGAGGGCTGGTTGAATGGCTCAAGTAGTAAAGTGCCTGCGTGCAAGTGTGAAGCCCTGAGTTAAAACCCCAGTACCACAAAAAAAAAAAAAAAAAAAA